ACATGGCATTCGTCTGTATGATTACGAGTCTGATGACTTATTTTTCTGGGTACATGAACTTCAGCCTAACCAAATCTGCCACTACACTTGCCAACTTCGTTGGTACTTCTTTCTTAGTGGCGCTGTTTGGAGGATTCATATGTGATACCTATTGGACAAGATTCAAGACTTGTGTCTTGTTTGGATGCGTGGAGTTCTTGGTATGTTTATCAATTAATCTCCTAATCATGACAATACATTTCTAATCAATTATGCTATCATTGGAAAATCATGAAGTGTCAAACTTCTAATTAAGAATCGTGAATTATTCTTATCATTTGGCCTATTTTATTGGAAAAAAGGCTTGCATGCATCTGCCACGATTTCCAAACTTGATAGAATATGATGCAGACAACAGGCCACGTCATTTAACGAAATTTGTGTAAATATGTATATTTTATCTCGTTTATAATTGTTCTACTCAAGTTTAAATTAGATTTCATTAAGTAAACCAAGCTATCAATCATCTAGTTAAATTAACTAGATATAACAAGGTGAATATTTTTCTTTTTAAAAAAATCTTGGGTATCCAGGTTATTTTCTAAAAAATTTCAAAGTATAAATCAAAATAAATTCATTGAATGATAAGTTTAATCAATATAAAATATATAAAAAAAATTGACATGGTCGTATTTAATATTATAATATGAATCATTTACATGGTGATATTTAATGAATTTATTTATAAAAATCAATCCGTAGCAGAAATTAACACACACATGAAATTTATTGAATAAAATAAAAAAAAATTACATGCAAGTTGCACATATTAAAAATTTATAAAAAATAAATTTTTAATTTTAAAAAATAATTTTAATCAATATAAAATATATAAAAAAATTATAAATGAATTGCACTAACCTCAAAAAAAATATTAAATGCACTCTATATAATTAAAAAATAATTTTTATTTTAAAGGGGCGGAATAAACCAAATGAATAATAGAGAATTGATATTAATCAAAACACAAATAAAAAAATTATTTTGAAAAATATAAATAAAAATAGTAATTTAAAAAAAATAATTGAGAATAGAAAGGGTGGATAATACATTGCCCGTCTCATTTTTTGTCAAAATAAAAATGATGATATATTGTCTAATTTAATACATAAACAACATGTTATTTGTTAATTTTAAAATTCAGCCATAAAAAAAATGATGTTTTTTTTATATAAAATATTTAAAAAACATCATAAAATTTTTGTTAAACCAATCTATGACCTCTAAAAACATAAAAAAAAACATTTCAAAACTCAAAATCAACCTCGAACTAAAAAACTTTTGAGCTCAGATTTGTTTTTATAGATGCAATATTTTTTTTAAAAAAAAAACTAATCTTAACTCCCTTCTCATTATATGAAATTTTTTGATATAAAAATACATTGTTTTGATGGCTTAAATCTTTTTTAATAACAACTTTCTCTTTTTAAGACAAAATCTAATAACCTCTTCTCTTTTTTTCATTTGAAAAAAATAAAATTTGATACTAAAATATATATTTTTAATATTATAAGGACCTGTCATTTAGTAGATAAAAAAAATGAGGGATAAAAATAAAATTTTAAAACAAACTTTAAAACTACCATTTCTATTAACCGTGTTCTCAATTTCAGTTATTTATTTTTCAATTCTACCCTCACCTCTAAAAAATATATAATTGGGTTTTGATTTCAGCTTCAGAAGACTTAATTATATAAATAAAAAATTCAAGAATAAAATTAAAGATTTTAAAAAATCTCAATATTGCAAACCACAATAAAATATAAAAAAGGAAAAACAATAAAGGAGTCTACAGTAAAGGAGCCGCGTCTTCTTTTATATTATAGGCAACACGCGCGCCCGCATAAGAGCACATTACGATGACGGATAGATTTTTTTTGTCATATTTCTTAAAGATTGGAAAAAAGATAGTGTTTAAAAATAGTGTGTTTTCCAGGGATATGCCCTCCTAACTGTTCAAGCACACTTCCACCAACTAAGACCAATTCCTTGCAAAGGCGTTTCATCTGATCAGTGTGAGGCTGCTGATGGTAGCCAATCTGCAATACTTTTCACCGGTCTGTACCTTATTGCATTTGGTACTAGTGGCATCAAAGCAGCTCTGCCATCCTTAGGAGCTGACCAATTCGACGAGAACGACCCCAAGGAGGCAATTCAATTGTCTAGTTTTTTCAACTGGTTCTTGCTTAGCCTCACCGTTGGAGCTATAATAGGAGTCACTGTTATTGTATGGTTAAGTGATAACCAAGGCTGGGATTTGGGGTTTGGTGTGTGTGCCATAGCAGTCTTTTTCGCCATTATCTTTGTAAGCATGGGCAAGTCCTTGTATCGGAACAATGTACCAAAGGGAAGCCCCCTCGCACGCATTGCACAGGTAATAACTTCCTAAAAGAGCTTGTATTAGATAAATGAACTTCTCCTTTAATTTGTTCATAAATGTAGGTATTTGTGGCTGCAATCCGGAACCGCGACCTTCCAATTCCAGAGAGGGCTGAAGAATTACATGAAATTCATGACAAAGAAGCGGGGGTGAAACAAGAAATTCTTCCGAGGACTGGCCAATTCAGGTATAAAAATATAAAATGGTCAACTTTGTTGCAACAAATCATAACCACAACGGGATACTAAACCACATGTATTTCTGCCAAATTCCAGTTTCTTGGACCGGGCAGCGATCGCAAACACTACTGACCTTGCATCAACATCAATCAACCATGGACCTTGGAGGCTATGCACAGTGACACAAGTTGAAGAAACAAAGATCTTGCTTCGCATGCTTCCAGTTATACTTAGCACAGTTTTCATGAACACATGCTTAGCTCAGCTCCAAACTTTTTCGGTCCAGCAAAGCACCACCATGGACACAAACGTCTTTGGCTTTAAAGTTCCTGGCCCCTCACTACCAGTAATCCCCCTACTATTCATTTTTGTTATGATCCCAATATACGAACGCTTCTTTGTACCACTTGCTCGAAAGATCACAGGGATTCCAACTGGAATTCGACACCTCCAGCGCGTTGGAGTCGGGCTAGTGCTCTCAGTCATCTCCATGGCAGTTTCTGGAGTTGTGGAAACATGGCGCAAGTCGGTGGCTATTGAACACAACATGGTTGACTCTACTGAGCCCCTGCCAATGAGTTTCTTATGGCTTGGTTTCCAATTCGCCATTTTTGGAGCAGCTGATATGTTCACATTAGTTGGACTGCTAGAATTTTTCTACGCAGAGAGCTCGACCGGAATGAAATCGCTGGGCACAGCTATCTCATGGTGTTCAGTGGCATTTGGCTACTTCTTGAGCTCTGTGGTGGTGCAGGTGGTAAACAAAGTTACTGGTGGATGGCTGGCTAGCGACAATTTAAATAGAGACAAGTTGAACTACTTTTACTGGCTATTAGCAGGCATCAGCACACTGAATTTTGGAGTTTACTTGACGTGTGCATCTTGGTATAGATATAAGGACAGGGGGGCAATGGAGCAAATAGAAAACGGCGGTGAAGTCGATGCCAAGGGAAAAGTTCAAATGGTAGAAATTTAGAAATACCAAGTCTCATTTAATTCAAAAAAACAAAGAAAGAAAATGAGCATTTGTCATATTTGTGTGAGGAATGATGATTTCTTTCTAATGTTGTCTTGTGCATGTTGCCTTTGCTGCTGTAATTAGTCTTTTGCACTGTGATTGTACCTGTGTTTTGCCGATAAAAACACAAAAATCATTAAAAAAAAAATGATGTTTCTGTTGAGATGCAGTGTTGCCAAACAATACCTTAATTTATAGAATATTTAACTTGAACCTGTTAATTGTTCAAAAACATAATAATATTAGTTTTTGAGACGGAGATTACTGTATCGAAACAAAAATTTCAATTTTATTTTTTTTACTTCAATTTCTTTAAAAGAATTAAAGTATTAGTCTATTCTCGGACAGCCGAGTATTAGTGAACATGCCAATTATGGTCAACCATGGAGATGTTAGGCACAGGTAGGGAGAGCGTACGGTGGTCGGAGGAGGGAATGAGGGGGGACGCGAGACCTAAAGTCAGGGTGTGCATGCATCGATTCTCACCGAAGATTTGTAAATCATAATTGATTAAGAAAAAAACAAAAAAGTTAGGGAACTTCATATCAGTATTAAAGTCAGAATTCCAGATAAGTACTTGTGAATAACAAATTAAATTTCTACCAAACTATCTCTTCTCCTCTACTTCAATCTGATCATTTTAGAGACAGAATCTGTGAACCAACCCTTACGAAAGGGTCCACTGGTAGGATTCTACCGGCCTAGGCCACTTACATTTGTGGCCCGATATGAACAGCAAGAATTTCTCAGTAGCCGAGAGCATAGCACAAAAATTATGCAGCCTGTAGCGGAAAGTTACTTTTTGAAATGTTTTTAATTTTAAAATAATATTTTTAAATTTTTTTAAATTTATTTTTAATATCTTTACATCAAAACAATCTTTTATATATATATTCAAGTTTTAATGAAAAACAGAACACTGGGCAGCCCAAAGATTCCAAACCTAATCGTCCCTGGGGATAATTTCTGCAGAAAAAAATGTAAGCGGTCAACTATCTCGGAGGCCAGAAGTCAGAACCTCTCAGTGCTAATCCGGCTTCATGTTAGTCAGTCAAAAACCTTACCAACTTCTAACTTTATTGTTGCTAAATTATTTATATGAACATGGGAGATCAATGGCATTCAATTTGCCTGGTGATCAACTCCTACAGCTGCGGCCGAAATTGCTTTCCTTTGTATACAACAAAATGACGAGAGATCTGTTAAAAGTTTAAAAACTTCGATCCAAGAAGATTAAACGGTCAAGATGATGCTGTATTCTCAGTGGGAGGACAATGCTGAAATTCAGTCAAATCAATGCAACAACTCGGTAGGAACTAGAGTAGCATTCCAACAATTATTATTTCCTATAAGAAATTAAAGATTACTCTTCTACACAAAGCAATAAAATTCTCAAGAGAGTGTTGGGCAATCATCGTAAGACATAACTTTCCATGGTATACAACAGTACAGGCAAGGGGGGCATGCTCCTAAAAGCCACAATCACAAAGCCAAAGCAAAATAATGGCAACACTGCACTGATTCAAAGCCAGGACTGCAAAATGAAGCGGTTAGTGCAAAAACTGGGCGTTGGTGATCCTATTTACATCATCAATTGAAGCTCCTTCATCAATTACAGCAACTGTCCAGTAAGTGGCAAAGCACAAATAACAGCTCGTTACTTTGTCATGTAAACATTCTAAAATTACACTATTTACAAAAGTTATGTCCTACCATTTCACATCCAGTGTTAGAGCCTCAGGAGGTACAAGAACAGATGGGAAATTTGTGAAGGAAATATTAGACATTAAATTACTCCAAGAAGCAGAATCAACAGCAATAAAAGGTCGAACCTTCTTAACAATTACGGGTTTTAGCTTCTCACCCTCAACTCTTGCTAATACCTCAAACCAAACCCGTTCAACAGTAGGCCTCGTTCTCCACTCTGCCAACACTTCTTGAACAGTCTCGTTGCTCCCGAAACTTTTCTCCAGTTCTAATTGAAAACGAATCAGTGTTGATGCTTTAGCAGTTACTCTAAGAAAGCTCGACAATCCATTTCGAGTAATTCTGTCACCAAGAAAACTTCTCAAAACTTCTTCCAGCCTAGCAATACTGGAACTTAAAAAGTGCATGGTGCTAGCCCGATTCTTGTACACATTCCTAGCGTAACACTTATTAGATACCAACTCGATAGTCTTCTTTGATAACATTCTCGTTTCAATTTCAGCATCAGGGTCCCAATTCTTGTTGGCAACAAGCGATGCAGATCCAATAATTCTTATAGGTAATAACGGCGGGCAGATCGAATCCCCGAAAGGGTAGAAACCATTTCCCATCTTATTATTATTAATGTCACTTCCATTCAAAGCCAAACTAAGATCAAAATCTTGAAAAAGAGAGACCTCTTTAGCTCCTTTCACTTCTACAGAGATTCCTTCTCCCACTATTATTCGTTTCAGACCACCATATGAAGCATTCATCTAGCATTAACAGAACCAAAACCAACAACAAAACAAAACCCAGTTGAAAAACAAAAACAAAAAGAAACAGAAATATTTAAAAAGGTAAGCAGAGCTATTTACCGGCAATAGCAAAGAGAAATTGCCATGGCCACTAACCCACAAATCAAAAGGGCCTTGGAGTTTCAAAGTGTCAAGTACAGGCATGGAACCGAATTCCTTAATCAGGTCTCCAAAATCAATACTTGATTTTGGTTTGCTCAACTTCTTCCGAGAATCTACTTCATCAGGGAATTTAAGTAGCATGTAACTTTTACCAACTCGGATCTTAAACTCGTATCTCTGAGAACTAAAAATCCTAATTTTACTCACTTCCAGCTTCGAAATCTCAATTCCCTCCAAATCCCAATCTTGCTTCACCGATATCTCCTTCAAAACGTCCTGTAAAATCATTGCCAAATTAAACAAAACCCATGAGAATAAAATATATATATATATATGTATATATATATATATAAAAAAAGAGTACAGTTGAGAAACATAATACCTTAAGGAATTGAGTGTTGTTGTCATTAAGGTGATTAGGAGTAAATGATATAGTTAATGGTAGAATTTGGAAGATGAGTAAGGGGAGGAGAGGGGCGGGGAAACGACGACGACGAAGGCCACTCATCGGTTTTTTTTTGTTTTTTCCTTCCTCAGCGTTAATGTACTTAGACACGTGTGAAATCCGGACAATGTGGATCTCACTTCCCCCCTTCCTTTCTTGCGTTGCAGGTGTTCTGTCGAAGAAAAAGAGAGATCAAAATGACGATTGTACCCCGAATTTCATTGGATTTGCATTTTTTTCTCGAAAAATAATTTTTATTAATAAAAAATAATCAATGCATAACAACCTGCATTTCTATTTCTTAAAAATGTTTTTTCTGATCTTGAATATTATTTGTGGATTTGTATTTTCATTTTAAACCTTACTTTAAGGTTTCTTTTTTATTAAAAAAAATTATTTTTTAATAATTTATGGATAGATGTTTTTTATCTTAGTACTTGGTTTTTTTATTATTTGATTTTATGTGATTTTTTATAATAATTTATCTTATGAAAAAAAGCTATATCCAATCCACCACACCACTACTAAATGGACTAGTGTCAATATCTATCCAGTAAATAAATTTAGCAAAGTTATTAAATTTAGTTTGATTTAAAGGTTGAGAGTTAATTTGAGTTAATTGAAATTATATTATTTTAATTTTTCTATAATGTTTAAAAAAAATCATCTCCAAATACGTTTGTGTGTGAGTTTTTGGTCACCCTTTCATTTATTTTTTATTATTTTCACTCTCAATTTTTCATCATAATTTTTTTAAAATGTTTTTGTGAAATTAATTTTTTTAAAAGGTTTTATCTTGAAACATTTTATTTGTTGTAGATTAAATTTTACTATTTTTTTTATTTATCATATTTCTGATCTAATAATTTAGATTATAAATTTAAAAAAATAATTTGAACCAGTATCTTTTTTTTTTTATTTTCTTTTTTGATTCCCTCCCCCTCACCCCCCACTCTTGGTTTTTTTTTTAAATTTATATCTTCTTAATATCTTGTTTTATAACTTTATAATTTATGTTTCAATCAACATTTCTCCTTTATGAATTTTTTTTATTTATCTATTTTTAAATAAATGTATTTAAAATAAATTAATATTTAATTTTAAAGGATACTATTATGATTGATCTATAAATTTTTATATATATGAACTTTATTTTTAAAATAAAAAATATTTATTTTTAGATAATATTTTTAATTATTCAATATTAATTTTTTATTTTTTTTCTTATTTTTGTTTTTGTTTTAATTGATACGTTTTTGATGGTTTTTTATTTATGTTTCAATTAATTTTTATGCTCCATGACCCCCGGCACTTATTTAGCCATTTTTAGACAAAGGGTTTTTTAAAAAATAATACATGTATTTAATTTTTTAAAATATTATTATAATTGATCTATATTTTTTTATATTCTATATAAATAAGCTTTAATTTTTAAAATAAAAAAAATATTTTTAGATAATAGTTTTAACGTGTAGGATATTTCTTTTATTTTCTTTTATTTTATTCATTTAGTTTTATACAAATATTTATTTTTATTATTTTTTGTTTAATAAATAAATTAAGTAAATATAACTTAATAAATATTTCATCTTATAAGATTAAATATTTTAATTTATATATGTGTTTTGATTTTTTTAAGTTTTGCTTTTAGTTGTTTTTTAGTTATGGTAAATGAATTATTTTAGAGTTGTTTATATAAATACTTATCAATTTATTTAATTAAAAAATTTTTATTTATATGTGTAATTTTTTTAAATAAAAAACATTAAAATAGATTGTACATTCATTTTTTTTTTTAAGAAAAAGTATTTAGCCCTCAGCAAAAAGCGGATCAAATAATTAATAATAGCTGTCATGACTTCAATAATTAAACTGTTGCTTTTACCCTGAAAAAGTAAAACCGGTGCTCTCAAAAAGATTTATTGAAATTTTCATCGAGTAATCATCTCTTTCTCTCTCGCTGTTTTTTTTTTTTTTTTTTCAAATTAAGCTAACCGCTAACTTGTGCGTTCACGACAAGTTTTATTATGGACATTAATATCAAAGTTGACATTAGTTTATGGATCTACTCCGAACACTTTTATAATGTGCGAGGCAAGAAATCATGCAATTAACTTCCAAGGGAATGTTTTCCTTATTTTTTTAAAAAAGAATTTTACAAAACTCCATCAATGAAAAATATTTTATGATTAGGTTTTAATTTAATTTATTTAAAAAAAAACTCAGAAAATTCAATATTTTGCTATCAATAATCTACCATTCATTACATCATTCAAATACTTCAAACCCCATCAATCTTGACCACAAACATATCCACCACCTCCACCACCACCACTTTTCATTATTTTACATCTATCAACCCCAATAAGAATAACCACATTAGTGGTTTTGTATTGGAAGTAGCTGAGTCAGAACCCAGAAGATGCCAAAACGACCACCAAAAACAACCGCTGGTTCAGCACCAGTCTCTCCCTGCATGCTGGAGCAGCATCCAGGGGATGAGAGAACATCAATTCCACGGTAGATTTACAGGGCTTCATCAAATCAAATGCATCAAGGAAACAACTGACCAGCCCACGCTAACAAGCTTAAACAAGTGCAAGTGACAATCAATTTGCCATCAAGCAAAAGAGAATCAGGGTATGATTTTCAATACCACAAAGCCAGGCTGCAATAAAAGATAACTGAAACAAACCGGAGGAAAAGATGAAGTACCACCAGAGTCGATTTTTCAGTCTAAATCAGCCTTCTTTAAAGGCAAAAATTATTCAAGCGTTCAAACAAATGAAGTAAAATATTAGAAACAATCTGAAATAATGAAGCTCTGTTTATTGACCAGCAATCTGTATGATCAACTCCAGGAGGTTCTCCAGTGCAAGGCTGGATTGCAAGGTCTCCGAACGACCAAAATCATGATGCACTCCCCTGCCCCTAACAACCACATCTTCAAGAGGAACCGCATCAAGAACCATAGCACCAAAGGAAACCAATACCAGGAGCTTTCCATAATGCGTCAACCTCAGGCATAAGAAGACAATACACGCACTGAAATGGGCACAGCAATAGTTGCAGAAATCCATGCAGGTCGCTTGGTGCATTGCTGAATTCCCCAAGAAACAAGAACAATAAATAAAGATACAAAGCAATGAACATGTCTATTACTTCTTCCACTTGTCTTTTGTTTTGGAAAATATGATTTACAAGAAAGAATGTGTCATAAGCCACAGTTTGGTCATCAACAAAGAAACGAACAGATGGATGAGACGATGATCCATCATCTGATACATTCAAGATAAGCAGAACTGTGATGATAGCAGTGAGGGTAGTCACAATTGCTCAACCAGGAGCCAAAAATATTAGGTATCAGAGATCCTTGCGGAGACCAGTGTCAAGAGATTGCATTCTTTGCCACTTGTGGATCGTATATGGTGTCGGATACTTTGGAGGGAGGCCAGTAGCGAAATACTGACCTACCAACAATGTTCTTGATAGGAAGCGGGCCCCTGAAAAGAGTTTGAAACACCAACATTAAGAGTTTGTGTTTTCAGAATAAACATCAATAGAAATTATGTTGATTTACATTTATATTCCTTTGCGTTACTTCAGATGATATGGACATTGCCAAACATGTGTTTGTGATATTTGCGAAGAACACCATCAAATTGTCGACGCCCAATGGAGACTATTTTTTTCTTTCCAACCTATTATATCATGTTCCCAAACCAAATCAGCATTAGAAAGATTCTCAACTTACCAGTTGTGAGAGTCAAAACTATTATTACGATTGTCCCCCATCACAAAGACATAACCTTCAGGGACAAGCTGCAAAAGAAACCAAATTAATTTCGTTAGCTAATATGGGAACACTTGGCCAAGTGAAACAAATATAAATAAATGAACATGGTATGAATATGCAAAATACAAGCAGAAATCAACAAAATCCATTACCACTGATTCCATCTCATAAGCAAGTGGCTCCTTGATGAATTCTTCATCTTGAACAACACCGTTCACATATAATTTGCCCTGTCGAACCTATAAATAGTCCACAAATAACACAAGAAGTCAGCAGCAGAGATGATGCTTTATGTTTTTGGCTGAAACTTGCCGGCATCTAATGACAATGGGAGGAAAAGGAAGAAAGAAGACAACAAACACCTCCATTCCTAACAGGATCAGTTATATATTCATATAGAGGCTTACTTCAACATAGTCTCCAGCCTTTGCCACAATTCGCTTTATGAATACATCGCCTGAACTGAAACCAAACTCCTGCAAATTACATATAAAACACAAGTTAGCGATCTATGATTTAATAGGAAATAACAAAATCTTATACATATTCATCAAAAACTAAATCTAGTTTATACCTGCAAGATTGGAGGAGCTTTAAAAATGACTATATCTGAGACTTCAGGCTTTCTGAAAACGTATGAAACCTATGACAAGAAAGATGGGAAAAATACAATATCAATATCATGAAAGAAAGAAAGAGTTAAGTATCAAATTTTCACCAGAATTTTCATAAATGAACAAATATCATATCCTACTTCAAAAGCGTATATGAAAACAAATAAATGCATCAACAATCAATGCCAACAAAGGAGTCTCGCTTGATTTTTGAGCATTATAAATTTCGTTTCGACTCTACATAGGACGGTGTTTCGATATCAATTCCATTTCATACTTTTTAAATATACCTCAAAATATCATCAAATTAGTCACCACACTAGCTATCAGAATTATCAATCAACCATCCAAACATGGTGACAGAGGTCAAAAAGGATAGCCAAATATGATCTAAGGCCATCACTCTCGAAAGGGTCTTCAAAACAGACACAATTTCACATGAATACACCAAAAATAAACACGAAAATATGCTAAAGTGTGTGTTCGCTCTCACCTTCTCTGCTAAAATACGGTCGCCCACGTCCAAAGTAGGATACATAGAACTTGAAGGAATGGATCGAGGCTCGGCCAAGGTGGACCTAAACAACAAACTAACAGTAGCAGCAGTAAACATGGCCTTGGCATCCTCCGAGCAAACATTAAAAACCCTTGAAAACCAACTTCCTGTCCTCTCAAACTCCTTCCCATTAATCTGGAAGCTCACACTAGTACTGCTCTTGCTCTCACTCACCTTCTCCACAGACTTCACTGTCCCTGTCCCTGTCCCTGTCCCTGTCCCTCCTCTATCCACCTCAGGACTCCTCGATCCCAGAACCGCCTCATTGCACGGAAGCCACCTCGATCCTTGCAAGAACGGCAGGATCGAGACGGCTTTAAATGGTGAAATTCCACAAGCACCCATGTTAGAACAAGAAACCCCGGCCGTTGACTTCATCAGAGAAACTAATCCAGCCGCAATCGCACTCCCTTTACAATTATCTCCAAAAATCTCACCAGCCATCGTACTATACATCGCCGCCGAATTACTATAATTCCTCTTCAGGTTTCGGCGGCGAAAATCTGTTCCCGCTCTCGGGCCAGGGGGTTCAATATCAGAATTGTGTGTTGTGGTGGTTGTTGCTGGTGAAGCAAATATCCGTGACCGGATAAAACATTCGTTGAGATACCGACAGTTACCGACACGAACACCTAGGTTCTGGGCAACGTAGCCGGAGAAAGAAAAGGTAACTCTGATCGCCATAATAGCAATTTCGAATAACAAGATAAAGATTTGGTAAATAGTGACTTCGGGTACTAAGAGGGTTGATGATCTAGGTAAGCCTAGCAAGAAATAGACAACATTTCTACCGAAAAAATCAGTGAACTGGAGATGTGAATTACGAGTTAAGAGGCTGAGCTAGTTTGTGAGGTCAAAATTGAGCGTGATTGAGATTCGAATCGGCGGATTAGGGTTTGGCGATGGGAGGAGATGGAGACCCTGAGCTCTGAGAGAGAGGCTCGGGAAAGAGGGGGGGTTTTGGTGAAAGGGAACGCAAGCAATGCGGGAGGAAAATTGGAAACGCCAGTTAACTGGAAGGCTTGGGTTTTAATACGCGGCGGCTGTGGAGGAGTAATGAAAGTTGACTTTTCTTGCTCTTTATTTACGGAGTTACCACTGTGTGTTTGAAGAGGGGTAGTTTAGGTTTTTAAGGCATGGAGTAGTTGGATTTTGGTTGAGGTTTTTATTTTTTTTATAATTCAACTGTTTAAACCAGATTATATGCACCATAATTAATTATTAGATATATTAAATATTTTATAAATTAAATAAATAAATAAAACATCTCAGAAATAACAGGTATATACACAAAAATTCAAACCTAAAATACAAAAACAAGAAATTTCTTATTGGGATTGAACTTGGATCATACTTCCTTTTAAAAATATTAAGATAAGAGATATAATCAAATATAAAAATTACTTAACTTTTTTCTTACAGTGAAGGACATGGTTTTTAACATGATTATGTATATATTCTAGCCATAAATAATTATTATTAATGATCTTATTTTAATTTATTAGGAGAAAAAAAACAACTTACAGGGCAAAAAAAGAGTGAGGAGTTTAATAAATCCACTGTGTATACTTTATTCATAACAAGGATATGATAAATCTTGTTTCATGTTTACTGTGTTGTTTTATAAAATATATTGTGCTGTGTCAGCTTTTTTAGGGTATTTTTAGTTAACTTATGCTGATTTTGTTATTGTTTTTTATAATTTTTATTTTTTAGGTGACTGTTTATTTATTTACCATGAAAAAATAATTTTTTATTATTTTTTCAAAAAAAATTATATTATTAATAAAATTATTCATTTGCCCATGAAACATTTATTCTTAAAAATTTTCAATTTCAAACTTTACTAAAAAAGAAAATTTTTATGTTTTCTAACTACCGATTAAAAAATTAAACTATGATTATATTTTAAATTGAAATTTTATCAAATTTTTCTATTTATTTTTTATATTTTTAAAATATTTTTAAAAAATATTATTTTTTAATTAATAATTTTTTGATATTTTTATATTTTTGGATAAGCTAATGTCAAAAATAATATTTTAAAAATAAAAAAATTATTTCCATATATTTTTAAATAGAAAATCCATGAAAAAATAATTGTTATTGCATACCCCGACGTCTGAAAAACGGTGGCAGATATGCAAACAAGAAGGAAGTTCAGGGGCAAGAAGATGTCTATAACTCCTGTAGAAGAGGGGTCTTCTATTACCAGCAAGTCAAACCCAAGGTGGCCGATTGCCACAAGATCCAACGAGTAAAACGTAAGCGCATACATCAGCCCAAATTTGCCTCTGTCGTTCATTTCAAAAAGCAGGGCTAGTCGGCTAGTTAATAAAAAATACCAATAATTTTAATTAACTTAGTTCCTATCGTTGAATCTAACAAGTAGATTGCTGTTCATGCAAATTAGGGTTTTTTCTTTCCTTTTTTTTTTATTTAATGATTGCAGAGACTGGGGATTTTACAGGGCAGGAGAAGGAGGACCAAGGTCTAGAGTTCGCTAGTTCAGAGGATAATAGGGGGTGGTGGTGGAAATGACTGTTGTGGGCTTTAAGGAAATTGATTTTGGTGACGTGGTGGTTGTTTATTGGGTGGATGATGGTAAGAAAGTAAATGTCATTAAACCAATCCGGCTTGAAAATGAATCCGGTCCAAGCCGGACTTAAAACACATTTGTTGAAAATTTACTTGAACTTGGTGAATAATTCTTGATTTGATCAAAATTTTATTTGGTTTTAAAAAATAAAGCAATATTATTTCAATTTAAAGTTAAAAATTAACTAAACATAAAATTTAATAAAATAAATTCGGCTTGAAAATGATAGATTAAAAATTTAATAAAATAAAATTTATTTAATTAGCAACACAGACAAATTATAAAGTTACCTGAACACGTTGACTCATTAGCCCTGGAGTTTATGATACCATACAAATATATCTTTAATTCAAAACTCGTATACATCATAGATTTATTTTTTCTTCTATACGAGGTCAATTATTTATCTTTATTAAATGTTACATTAGCTCTCATGAAATTTTAACATGGAAATTTTGTAAATCATTTTCCATGAATCAGTATACATACAAAATAACCCAAATCATGCTTTACGAATGCAGTTAAAATTATGGTTTTTTAAATTTTATTATTATTTTGATATAATAATATTAAAAATAAAAAATATTATTTCAATATATTTTTAAATAATATATATTTCATAAACAACCACGCTATACTCGTCAACATGTAAAATAACTGCTTGTGTGCTTAATTTTACCGATAACAAGCCGTTGTTTGTGCAAAGTTTATAAACATGCTTGGTGGTTGACCCAGCTTATAGCCTGATTTTTAGGTTTTGATTGTAATATTGGATTGCTCTGATTAATTTTAATTTATTTAAAAAATTAAAATAATATTTTTTAATAAAAAATTAAAAGTTAACAGGTTATAATTAAATTTTAAATTAAGTTTTGTTAAGTCAATCTATTCATCGAGTTACCTCAAGTTTTAATTTTTTTATTTTTTTTAAATCTGGTTCCAGTCCTGAATCAGTTGTGTTTTTTTTTGAGCGAATTTATCAGGCTAGACTGGACCGGTTTTAAAATTATATGTCTGTGTTATGGGAGCAATTTAATTAATTAAAAAATCTCCTCTCTGTTCTCTAGAGCATCAGCAGCAGCAGCCTATCACGACGGCAGACATGACAGGAAATTACCGATGTCTGGCTTGGTTCATTGTATCTCGGTCCGTTCAAAAACCGTTGCTATTTGGTCCGTAGAAAAACGGAAATTGTTGAGAAATTTGTGAAACGCGGGGAGAAGTTTATAAAGATAATGGATAAGTTCACAAAACGACAAAACTATAAAATGCATTTAGATCACTAGCTAAATTCGTGTTAATTCTAGAATGATATATTTTTTGTGAAATTAAACAGGTGTCTCATGGTATATGGCGGAAGGGTCAAACAGATATTTAAATAATAATAATTTAAATTAAATTAATTAAAACACCATGTAGGATACGACACCAAGACAACATGGGAAAGAAAGAAATTATAAAGTTTATGTTCTAATAATTTAGTTTCGTACATAAAGTTTTTTAAAAATATATAATGTAAGAGAAAAAATTCAAGTCAGCTCAAAATAATTAAATAAATAGATAATATATAATATGAGATTAAAATAAAAAAAATAATTTTTAAATAATGACATGGTAAAAAGAAAGTATAAAAATAAATTAAAAAAATTAAATTAATACAGGTCGGCTTTGCCAACTTGTTCTCGAAATAACAAAACATGAAGAGAAATGAAAAAATAACCAGATTTAAGGAAAAATAATTTAATATAAAATAATAAAATTAAAAAAACAAGTCATAAAACATTAAGGAAAAAATGAGTAAACTTGATTAATTTGATACTTGAAATATGAGATCGGAATTAAAAAAATAAATTTTTAAAAAAGAGACATAGCAAAAAGACCCAGATTAAATAAAAAAACCATTGAGTGAGAAAATACAAGTTAACTTGGATTAATTTAATTAACCCGCACTTATAATAACCCAACCACAAAAAAGTTAAAAAATCACATAGCTAGAGGGCAGGTAAATTAATGCTGAGGTATAAAATTGTTAAAAAAATCAGTTTTATAAGAAAAAACCAAGGAAAAAAATTGAAGCAGTCATGGTTAATTTAACTAATATATTACCCTGAATATAAGATTGTGATAATTAAATAAAAAAAAACATGAAAAAAAATGAACTTGAGGACTTATAACCTAATGTCAATAATGAATCCCAGAGGAAAAAATCAATTTTCAATTAAAGACTATTTTGTTGGAAAGCAATCATAAAAAAATAATAAATTAAAATATATAATAATAAAATAATTTTAAACCCAAACAATGCAGACAAATCTTGGTAAAAAAATAAAAGAAAATAATTAGAGGTTAAACTGGAAAAAAAAGTTATTAAAAGTACAAGGACCAAAACTGAATAAAAAAACCAAATGAAATTAAATACTGAGGGATAAAATTTTAAAAAGATAAGTAAAAAAAATCATAGAAACATAAAAAAAATGACGATGAATGATAAATTAAAAGAATGTAGTAAAATTAAAAGGGATGAAGTTATATTTTTTTTTTTAAAAAAAGAAAGTATAAAGAACATAAATAAAGTAATTAAAAGTTGAGGGACCAAATCAAATAAAAAAAATTAACTTGAATAAAATACAAAGAGATGAAATTAAAAACAATCCAAACTCCAAAAAACATCAAACATCAAATAAAAAAAATCAAAATCAATAAGATTATAAATCATATGACACAATTATTTTTTTAAAAGTTCATGTGTGGTTTTTAGAAAACGCGAGAAAAAAATATTTTTATCATGACCCAACCACACCTTTTCACGCGTCATGTTGCTAGAAAGAGAACAACATGCCGCTCCTAACACCGTAATAAAAGTTGGACTTTGGCCACCACAAGATCCCTCACACGTACAAGTATAATGTTTTTAAAATAATATTTAAAACCTTAAAATTATTATGTCATCCCTTAAAAAACCTAAAAAAAATAAAAAAACAAAAACAACCTTTACTCTTTGTTGTTTTGAATTATAAGATTAATTTTATTATTTTTCTATTTTGAAAATAAAAGGACAGGGAAGCCCATCTATGCATGTTCATGTTTAATTTTTTCTCTTTCAAGGGAAAGATAAAAATTCCCCTCACCAAAGATTTTTTTTTTTTTAATTTTCGAGGGCAAAACAATCATTGGATTGTAAAAAAAACACTTATCCGAGCCATTTTATCCCATATCAATTTTACAATAACCAATATATCCTAATAAAAAAGACTTTTTTACCTTTAATTATATAATTACAGGTTTCCTCTCTCTTTTTTTTTTGCAATAATAAAATTGTATTTACACTGTTACAATTCATGAACCAGATCAATATTTAAAATGATTTGAAAATAAATTTAACTCAAACCACACTTCACTGCCAAATCA